GGACCTGCCAGCTTCAAAAGATGGGGAAATGCTTTGGTGTGTGACGTAGCCCAGTACTGATAATGGCTGTAAAGTAAATATCACTGTAGGCTTTCAACGGTGCAGCGTCAGTGATGCACGTTCGCTGTGAAACGGGACAGAACTCTTGAACTGCCTTTGTCTTATTCCACCTGTTCCATCCATGGTGTTCCCAGCTACGCACCCGAATGGCAACTTCTGCCTGTCGTTTTTCAGAACTTTCAGTTTTTCTAGGATGCATATGTGTATCTGATCTACAGGAAAGCAGTCATTCAGGTGTTGACGCCAATGGAAGAAATAATGACATAACATTTTTATTTATGAAAATACGTTTAGCTGTTCGGTCCCGCAATACATTGATTCTGTGGGACTTTTGAAAGCCTAAATATTATTACTGTATTTTAATTAATCTGAATGGCTTTCAGGGACTACTTAAAAGCAAATTATATTTTGTCCAAAAAAAGCATTAAAAAAAGAATTAAAATAATGGCACTTCAGGAGACCACAGGTTTGAAATCAGAGTTTCCATTAGTCTTTCAGCTCTGTGCAGTGATCTTGTATGTTCCCCCTGTTATTCCACAAAATAAGCTTATTTAAACTGACTGAACAACAGCAGTTTTGTGAATCTATTTATGTAAGTTCAACTAGTCTGCTAGTAAATCCAGTATCACACATTATCAGTTGTTTAAAGAAACAATAGAAAGCACTGCTTCTAGATGTAAATGTGATCACCTTCCCTTTGTAAAGTTACATTGGCTTCATTTAAGCACTTAACAGCTGCTTCAGTCTCCTCACCCTGAAATAAGCTGTTGAGGACATTGCAATTTAAGGCAGGGTACAGTGGGCTACTCTTAAGCTTTCAGCAAGTTTGTATCAGTATAACAGAAACAGAGGAGAGATGCCTTAATTCAGATACAAAAGAAGAAGTACTGTATGTGTCATAGAGGACACATCATTCTGTTTTTCTGACAAGATTTCAAAAGATTAATGATATGTATTGCTTCAAATTTTACATGCCAGACTTCAGAAATAAGGAGATTGATTCAGAGGTGTTCAGAATGATTTTTGAATATCAGACTCTGCAAAGTTTTGTAAGGTTTGGCTGGCCATGACCATTAGCTCTTTCTTAAATATTTGGTCTCTGACAGGTTGAAACCACTTAAAACCATGTCTTAAAATGTTGAGGTTTTTTTTACTCTGCCCAAGGTCTTTGAAGCAATAAACTTTGTGACTTACGATTTAAAACAAAAATAAAAACACCAACACCTATACCAGTGCCATAGCCCATGATATCTGGGTGCTTCCAAATAACTTTTGAAACAAGAAGCATAAGGCAAAAGACACAGTGTTGTATAGTCTTTGGAGTAGTATTAAAAAGTAACAATGTAGACCATGGACTGGAGAAGGATTTTTAATTCTTGTTTATAGTAACGGTTCTACTGATGAAGCAAAACAAGGTGTGAAGCCACTCTCTCCATCTGGCTTACACAGACTTCCAAAAGCTTAAGAACAAACTTAGTATAAGAAATCAATTCCACCTTCCTGCTTGAAGACGGAATGATAATTTCAAATCTCCTTGCAACAACTGGAGTATTTTTTACAATAGTTTTACAACAGAGCAAATAGCCAGGGTTGCTATTCAAATTAGATTTTAAATACTTCCATAAGTAAATTAATTACCGGTGACTGAGAACTTCAGAAATGACAATAAAACTGTTAACAGTACTCTCTGTAGTTTCTCTTTTTATTTTTAATCTTTGTCCAAGGTTGTTATGTTTCTCAGATGAAATGCTTGTCATGATTACTTGAGTAACCATCAAACTGTTACAGAATTTATGATAGGTATAGGTGGAGTAAAGCAAGAAATAGTCTCAAAGATCTCATACTTGTAGTCAGCTTTAAACTAAACTAGAACCTTCTATATGCTGTCGTCTCAAGTCCTGCTGAGCTACTATCTCCCAATTTTAAAGGCAAATAAAGAAAACGTGTGTGTTTTCTACGTGCTGTGTAGAAGAAAACATTCCTTTCCGACCTTTTGCAAATTATCTGTTTACCTCCTGAAACATTTCATTATCCTTATCTTACTACGCATAAGAAGCAGTGTTAGTAGCCATGAAATTATTCAATGCTTTTAGGAATTCTGGCTGCAGTATCTGACTCTCTAACCTCTTTAAGGCTGACTGCACACAATGTATGACATTTTCTTTTATTTCCTTCAGTTTAGTTGACATTCATTTCATTTGTATGATGAAAGAAAAAAGGAAGATCTCAGTTGCAGTCTCCTCATAATCCTAAATATTTCACTCAAAAGTCATTCTGAAAGCTTTTCAATGTTAAATATTACAGCAGCACCTTGTTCTTTTTGAAAAGTCCTTCAGAATTCAGCTTTAGTGAAGCATCTTTTTAAAGAAAATTCTTTATAATGTTATAGCATGATCAAGGTATACATAGCATGTATACTTTTTTTTTAATAATTAAGTCAAGATTAATAAACCTACCTTTGTTCCTTGCTACTTTTATACTGGTAACCAGTGCTTTCAGGTAATATGTGCTTATGCCAGTTTGAAAATTACTCAAGTTTTAGATTTGGAAATTGAGACCTTGAGATTGAGCAATTTAGCCAAAGTCATGTAAGGGCAGTCAGTGACAAAGCAGGGACAGACTCAAGTGCTATACTGTTATCTCAACTTACTGGAAAAATCCCCATTCTTAGAGAAAAGCTTTGCAGCTAATGCTCTCTGCCACAGATTGCATAATCCAGAAATTCACCTAACAATGTACACAGAACACTTTGCCATCACAACAGAGACCAAAAAGTACAAATCCTATTTAAATATTTCCACTTCTAATTGCTCCTTACATAGTTCTGCATGAAGGAAAAATTAAATCTAAAATACCCCTAATATTTAGGAAAACTCTTACTTTATTTTTTTTCAATAGCATTGTAGCTTAATAAAAAGGTAACTGCATCAAGCTGATTGTTCAGATCTAAGTGTATTTAGGTGACATTTATCTTGCCTTTCTGAATAAAATGATCATGGTTCTACAACTACAATAATACAGAATATTTACCTCATGATTAAACAGGCCTGTTTCAAAATATGCCTGGCAGCATCTAGCAAGCTTCTTCCTAAAATGCTTGTGGAGGGTGGAGAGGTTCAGAAAAATAGACTTCTGTTGTATTGAATAGGGGTTAAAATTATCATCATCCAATATACAAAGTAGTTTGTTCCTCATAGAATCATTAAGGAAGGAGAAGACCTCTAAGATCATCAAGTCCAACTGTAACCCAACTCCACCATGCCCACTAAACCATGTCCCGAAGTGCCACATCTATGCATTTTTTGAACACCTCCAGGGATGGTGACTCTACCGCTGGCCTGGACAGCCCCTTCCAGTGCATCTAATGCTCCCCTGGCGCAACGTGAGGCCATTACCCCTTGTCCTGTCACTGGCTACCAGGGAGAAGAGACCGACACCCCCCCTCACTATCCCCTCCTTTCAGGTAGTTGTACAGGTTGATAAGGTCTCCCCTCAGCCTTCTTTTCTCCAGGCCAAACACCCCCAGCTCCCTCAGCCACTCCCTACCATTCTTGTTCTCCAGACCCTTCACCAGCTTCGTTGCCCTTCTCTGGACACGCTCCAGCCCCTCAATGTCCTTCTCGGAGTGAGGGGCCTCTGAAAGGAGGTGTCATATCTTGGTAGTCCCTGGTGTAAGAGCTTTTATCGTACTCTTACACAGTCACTTCCCAGAGACTTCCCACTGGGATCACTGCTGTTGTATAGTGGCAAACGCATGCTTGCACTTACCGGGCTATCTCCAGGAGCCAAGAATGGGTGTTAGCTTCTGGTTTTTTTTCTTGAAGGGTGTTTGACTTTGCCAAAGAAGTTGTAGTGGTGGTCGGTTGGGAGTTTTTCCCCCACCTCTGTTCAGCAATGCAGCTGTTACATAAGTTAGAATAATCAGTTCTAGGCACAATCTGTCAGATGTCAAAGCAAAGAAAAATCTGACTCCTTAAAAATACTGACTGTACATCATATCTTTGTGAAAAACTGTTTCTATTGATGATTTAAACCTACTTGTGATTGTCAAGTGTCCCTTGAGCTCATTCCTATGCATCTGGTGAAGGAATGAATCTGCTGCGGTGCTTATGAGGTGCTG